AATTCTGTATCTTTAATTTGGCAGTGGGTAGGGGGAATCTTGTACACTTCCCGTTCACGGATGAAGTGGAAATTTTTGCACAATTAGCACATGAATCAATTAAAACAAAGTTCGTATTACAATTATTTAAAAAAAAAACAACAACATTTGAATCAGTATTCTTTTCCATGAGTTTGTTATTAAGTGGAAAATATATATTTTATATTGATCCATTGACACTTTTACCATTGTGACCTTAGATGTAAATTTTTTGGACCAATGCGCGAATCTATGAATGAAGCTTGATTTATTAAACAATTTAACTCCCCTGAAGTTTTTCATTGAAAAAAATCTGCTTGCGTAGATAATCTTAAAAATTAAATGGTTCACTTTCAGAAAAGAAAAAAGTAGCCGTAGCATCAGAACTTTGAATGATCTAAATTATCATGATGTCCGATTTTCATTTTCTCTTCTAGTTTCTGAGATCTAAACGGACGGACAGACCACACAAAACCAATAGCATCTTTTCCCCTTTCGGGGCCCGCTAAAAATTAACCAATTAGTTTTAATTCATAATTTTATTAAATATAGAAAATGTGCTTAGCCCAGGGGAGATGTATTTTGGCTAGAGAAATATGTCGTTCGCTAAATAGTCTATAAAACCTTCTGTTCTATTTCTTTTATTATAATGTCGTTCGCTAAATAGTCTATAAAACCTTCTGTTCTATTTCTTTTATTATAATGTCGTTCGCTAAATAGTCTATAAAACCTTCTATTCTATTTCTTTTATTATAGAGTAAGTCCAACTTGTGTATGGGCTGTGCAGTTGAGGTTTTTTTTTTTTAACAACCGTTTGAGCTCTCTAACTCTGTTGTTGTTAGCTTATCAAATATTTTCTACACGGACAATGGATTTAGATTCTAGATCTAGAACTAGACCACGTGTCTACCTCCACGAGGTTATACACCTAAAGACAATAAGTATTAAGAGCTCGTTAAATTAGATCGAGATCTGTTTATTTTGTCATGGTCATGTAGATAAACTGGATCTATACACAGACTAAATTCTGTAGTGACTATATACTAGTTCTAATCTACATTTCTTACTCCATACGTTAGAACAAATTCGTACAAGTGCTCCTTCTTCCTTAGTGCCATTAGAGAATGGAATGGGTTATCTTAGCAAGGTTTAAATCATTGATTAACATGCGTGACTAGATTGGCACATGAAATGCATAGGACGTAACTATCTTCTCTTTTTGAAGTCACGTCTGTAATTTATAAGATAAGATAGAGTTTAGATCTAGATGTGTATCATGCATGCATAACTATCACCATCTTCTTATCTTATAAAATACTTTTATTAAAAATTCCTCATATGCATGCTCCTAGGTCAATCTAGTCAAGAATGTTAACCAATGTCTTAAATTCTACCAAGTCACAGTTTTTTTGGGGTGAGTCAGTCTAAGGAACCCATTCCATGCTCTTTAGTCTTTACTATTTAGTATTTATCAATGTGGGAATTCATTTATTCTAGCTCCTAGATATTTTGTGTTTTGAGTCTGTGTTGCTGGTTTACCATGAATAAAATAAGTTTTACCTTTTCATATATTATGATCATAAATTAGATTGAGATTTTAAGGTACTTAATCTCCCTAGAACCTAAGTGAACAAAAAGTCTTCTTCAAACCTTTTCATTCTGTTACAAGACACTCTTGACAACTGTGCCAGATTTTTCAGTGCTGTCAATTTTAAAGACAAAGGTTTTTTTTTTAAAATTGATTACAAATAGTCGATGACATTAAAATTCTGGATTATTCCACTTCTACGTCTCATTTCTTCATTATGTCTCTAAACATGAGGGTGGGTGGGGGCCGGGGCCCGGGGGGGGGGGGGCCCGGAGGTGAGTTAAATCATTTTCCCATCAAACGTCTCCCATAAATACTTATCTTATAAATTACTACGTAAGCGAAAGAATTTGAAATTTGATTTACTGCGCTAAAAACATATCTACAGTCTCAGCATAATATTTTCGAATGTCTCGAGGGATATAACTTTAAAATAGAGTGGGATATAGTTCAATTTTTTTTACTGAACATGTCGCCCATTTGTATCATCTCTCTGCCGTGATACACCGAGTAAGTATATCATTCCACTGCCGTTGTACACTTAGCAGGCTTATCATTCCTCTGCCATAGTACACGTAGCAGGCTTATCATCCCTCTGCCGTAGTACAATTAGCAGGCTTATCATCCCTCTGCCGCAGTGCATTATCAAGCTTATCATCCCTATGTTGTGGTGCACTTAGCAGGCTTATCATCCCTATGTTGTGGTGCACTTATCTGGCTTATCATCCCTCTGCCGCAGTGCATTTATCAAGCTTATCATCCCAATGTTGTTGTGCACTTATCAAGCTTATCATCCCTATGTTGTGGTACACTTAGCAGGCTTACCATCCCTATGTTCTTGTGCACTTATCAAGCTTATCATCCCTATGTTTTACTGCACTTATCATGCTTATCATCCCTATGTTGTGGTGCACCTATCAGGCTTATCATACCTCTGCCGCAGTGCATTTATCAAGCTTGTCATACCTATGTTGTGGTGCACTTATCAAGCTTATCATCCCTATGTTGTGGTACACTTAGCAGGCTTATCATCCCTATGTTCTTGTGCACTTATCAAGCGTATCATCCCTATGTTGTGGTGCACTTATCATGCCTATCATTCCTATGTTATGGTGCACTTAGCAGACTTATCATCCCTATGTTGTGGTGCACTTATCAAGCTTATCATCCCTATGTTGTGGTACACTTAGCAGGCTTATCATCCCTATGTTCTTGTGCACTTATCAAGCGTATCATCCCTATGTTGTGGTGCACTTATCATGCCTATCATTCCTATGTTATGGTGCACTTAGCAGACTTATCATCCCTATGTTGTGGTGCACTTATCAAGCTTATCATCCCTATGTTGTGGTACACTTAGCAGGCTTATCATCCCTATGTTCTTGTGCACTTATCAAGCTTATCATCCCTATGTTGTGGTGCACTTATCATGCTTATCATTCCTATGTTGTGGTGCACTTAGCAGGCTTATCATCCCCATGTTGTGGTGCACTTATCAAGCTTATCATCCCTATGTTGTGATGCACTTAGCAAGCCTATCATCCCTATGTTGTTGTGCACTTAGCAAGCCTATCATCCCTATGTTGTTGTGCACTTATCAAGCTTATCATCCCTATGTTGTGGTGCACTTATCATCCCTCTGCTGCAGTGCATTATCAAGCTTATCATCCATATGTTGTGGTGCACTTAGCAGGCTTATCATCCCTATTTTGTGGTGCACTTAGCAGGCTTATCATTCCTCTGCCTATCGCCTATCATCCCTCTTCCTAAGCTCGCCTTACGCTGGGTGACCTACTTTGTATCAATGTAAACATTTAAGAGCATAGAAAATTTCTGACGCCTCAAAATGGAGGTCAAAACTATTTTTCTGCTAAATTGTATTGGACAAGATTTAGAATCGACATATTCTAATTCCCCCCCCCCCCCCACACACACATACAGAAAAGTTGACCGTGAAAGCGAGGCTCATTTTAACTGTAGGCGCTGATGAGATTGGATGATGTGGTCGAGTGAATGCCATGTAATTTTTAAAAACTCCCGCCTTTGAAGAGTTGACTTTGGAAGTGTATTGATTTGTTCAGTCCTACCTTTAAAACAGAATGCACATATAAAGCCGTATCCAAGAGAAAAATACAAGAGAAACAATAGACACACACGGACAGACAGACTGCACAAAACTATGTCAGCCTTTCCACTCCAGGAGGCTGATAATAATATTAGCAGAGACCTATCCAGATTGTCAACTATCTGAACGTATTGTTATGTGTAGGAAGACATTGATATGTTCTAGACCAGAGGCTTGTTTAACATCTGCCGGAATAAGTCACGTCAACCAACGATACTTTTATGTTCCTTAGTCTGTTGGACCGTTGGGGCACCACACACAATCTTTCGACCATCTCTTTCCATTCTTCATGCCAGGACCAGAGTCACTTTCATTGACAGTGTCTACCATTCTTTTATATCTTCCAGGTTGGCTGCCTGGTCGTGAGGTATGAGCGCTGGACTATCGTTCTGTCTTCTCTATGGCCCCTGGTTCATACCCTGACCGCTGCCATCCCCCGTCGTTCTTCGGGAGGTTTACACTAAGAAGTAGATTATCTTCCACTCTGAAGTAACAACCGAAACATGTCAACATTTTACAAAACATTCCGTTGCAACTCTATTTAGATTGTGCTGCTAGACAACTAGAACGAGACTTAGTTGTTTCAATGTATGAGTTTCAGATTTTTAAAAAAATTTAGACCAGATCTACAATTAATCATAAATATTAATTTGAATGGTAACAATGCTGTGTCCTAGTAAATAATTACGTAAGAAAACACAACAAACATAACAACACAAAAATAAACAAAAGCACACAAAAAAATGAAATAAAAAAAATAAAATGAAATATCATGGACAACAATAGACAAATAAAAATAAAGCTCAAATAACAGTGAAAAACAAAATAAGCAAGAGAAGAAGAAGAAACAAATAGGACCAAGTTGAACAGAACTTTCTAGAAGAACAAACAAATAGGACCAAGTTGAACAGAACTTTCTAGAAGAACAAACAAATAGGACCAAGTTGAACAGAACTTTCTAGAAGAACAAACAAATAGGACCAAGTTGAACAGAACTTTCTAGAAGAACAAACAAATAGAACCAAGTTGAACAGAACTTTCTAGAAGAACAAACAAATAGAACCAAGTTGAACAGAACTTTCTAGAAGAACAAACAAATAGAACCAAGTTGAACAGAACTTTCTAGAAGAACAAACAAATAGAACCAAGTTGAACAGAACTTTCTAGAAGAACAAACAAATAGAACCAAGTTGAACAGAACTTTCTAGAAGAACAAACAAATAGAACCAAGTTGAACAGAACTTTCTAGAAGAACAATTCAATTACAGACTTTTGTTCCTTTAGACATAGTTGTATTTTGTGTTTTTTTTACATGAATTGTGCAAATGTTCCATGAGTCTGATTTTGTTCATTGCAGCCACTTGTTAGTTCCGTTACACGCTACCACTGTTACACGCTACCACTGACAGTTACTTGTTACATGTTATCACTTTTACTTGTTACCACGGTTACTGCTACGTCACATCATTTAGTACTGTCATTTGTTACCTTGCGCTGTTGTTACACGCTATCCTTGTTACTAGCTACCACTGTTACATGTTACATCAGTTACCATTGTTACTTGTTAGCGCTGTTACTTGTTAGATGCTATCCTTGTTACTAGCTACCACTGATACATGTTACACCAGTTGCCATTGTTACTTGTTACATGTTACCACTGTTACTTGTTAGATGCTATCCTTGTTACTTGCTACCACTGTTACTTGCTACATGTGACTACAATAAGCTTGAATGTTGAGTTTCACCCAGGCCTAAGTCTAGATAACTAGACATTGAATGTCTGGACCACAGGGCTACTGCTCTGAGGATGACGGAGCTCTTCTGTGTTTGCGTTCAATTTCTTTCAGCCTCTCCACTGTTTTCTTCAGGGCACGCAATTTGGGCAGGTTGTAGCGCTGGCTGGCCAAAGCGCCCAGGACAAGGCCGGCTGTAAACACGGCGAAGCCCTCCAAGTACATTTTGTCTGTCATTCTTGAACATGTGGCTGAACTAGGGAATAGAAAGAAGGAAAGAATACGTGATCTTTTAAAATAGTAATAATAATGATAATAATAATCTATTCTCAGTAAAAGTCACATAGACGTCGAGAAGTTATTGTCTTCAAATAAAGTTTTAAACTCCGCCAAACGAAAATTTATTCTACATTTTGACGAGTCGCTGAAGTCTTTTATAAACACAATCTCCTAGTCACAAAGAAAAAACTAGCCAAGGCGTCTGGTTTTAGAATACCGGCAATTAAGTCTTTAAAATTAATACACCCACAAACACATACACACACACACTAACAAGCACAGAGAGTGACTGTATAAGTGTGTTAGTGTGTGTCGGCAGTAAATAAAATAATACGATGTTCCAATTTGATGAAACTATAATAAGGTTTCGCCAAATAATCTACATCAGTGATTCTCGAACTGTGGTCTGTGGAACTCTTCAGATTCACAAGACGACCTTAGGCCACAGAAAGAAGAAAATTGTATGCAATTAAAATAATTTCTTCGTTAATAGCCAGCTCATTAGATATACTTCAATTCGATTTTCCCGACTGGGTATTGAACGCTTTTACGCATGGACGTAAGCAGATTTTAATCACACATGAGTACATACTAATGCAGGAGCAGCAGCTTATTGAAATATACACAAACTATGAACTTCAACCAATGTTTGAAAAATCCCATCACAAATTCCGGTTACAGAAACAGATTCCAGTTTTATATCCTTTATTATGGGCCGTTGTAGAGAAGTTGCTCATAGCTTCCCGTCTTCGTATTTGTTAGAACGTGAAGTCGGTGCACTAATAAATCTCATCAGAAATACAAGTGACCGACTAGACATTTGTGCAACTGGAGATTTGCGTAAGCTACTTACAGACATTAAGCCAGGCATACATTTGTTCAACTGGAGAGTTGCGTTAGCTAGTTACAGACATTAAGCAAGGCATATATTTGTGCAACTGGAGATTTGCATTAGCTACTTACAGACATTAAGCCAGGCATACTTTTGTGCAACTGGAGAGTTGCGTTAGCTAATTACAGACATTAAGCCAGGCATAAATACACTCATCAAATCTTATCCACATCGTCCAAGTCACCGTTATAACAACATCATAATCTCAGTAAACAATTCTTCAACAATGTTTTTTTTTTTTTCATTTGAACCTTTTTACCAACATTTATGTAACATTTCACTTTTGGGTCCGTGGGTAAGTTTTGACTGTATAAAGGGGTCCCTTGGTCCAAAAAGTTTGAGAACCTGTGATCTACATCTACCAACTAATCGAACAGTGAAAACAGTTAATTATTGTTAAAATAGAGCTGTGATATTACATAAGAAAGAAGTATTCACAATTTACTAAACACCATTAATAAAATCACTAAATTGAGAGACCATTTAGGACAGAAGACGAAACAGCAAAGTAGCAATACTGCCTAAAATACTGAAGTATAACTTAGCAATACAAAAACACAGCTTAATAAAATACTTTCAATGCATCAAGATAAAAGAACGTTTCTAAATCTCATGCTAGGACAAATTCGTACTAGTCCTTCTTCCTAGTGACAATAGAGGAAAATGGGCTGCCTTGAGCACCCAGAAAAAAACAATGACTTAGAGTGTAAGTCTCTACTTACCACGAAAGAAGATTATGCAATCCAATTGTGATGTACATTTACTTTTTTACTTAGACTTAGATCCTCCCACGCCGTTCGGCGCATTGGGCGGCAAGCTGTCTCCATAGTGATCTGTCATTGGCAATGTCTGAAGCCTCCTCCCACCTGGTGTCCACAGTTCTGAGGTCCTCCATGAAGGTGTGGCGCCAAGTAATACGAGGACGTCCCTGATTGCGCTTTCCTCGTATTGGCCTCCATGTCATCGCAACTCTTGGTGTGCGTAGTTCACTTTGTCGTAGGACATGACCCGCAAACCTCATGCGACGCTCTGTCACAACCTCACTAAGTGTTCGACTCCCAGTTCGGCATAGGATTTCCTTGTTTGAGAACCGATCTGTGTAACTGACTCCCAAAATCCGTCTCAGCCATTTTTGTTGAGCCACATTTAGTCTTTTCTCAATTTTGATAGATGACTTTCATGTCTCACATGTGATGTACAGTAATGAAATAAATAATATGAGTAAAAATAGTTTTAAAAATGACAAACTTTTGAAATGTCCAAATAAAATGTACACTATTCAATATGAATACAAATATGGACTATGAAATGACTTTAAAACAAGCAATAGAAACAAAAGGGTACTTAAAAAACAAACAAACAGCAAAGCTTATCTAAGGGAAATAACCGCTTTATCTACACTCTACCGAAAATTACAGGGTTTAGCATTCTGCTATATAAAGCAAAGTTAATTTATTAGTACTAAATGATTAACAAATTGATTAATTTTTTTTATTAATTCGTGTATTGTCATCGACTCTCAATAATTATGCTAAATTTTAACTTGATCCAAGAATGGGAAGTGGAAGAAAAAAATGTTTACAAACATAATAAGAGAATCAAATCCATATATACATCCACTTCTCTCATTAAGTAGCATTTATTTCCTTTACTTCGACATCTTCATCCATAAATATTCACCCAAAGTTAATTAACTAATTGTTTGTTGTTTTTTTTTTTTTAGATTATGTCCTGTCCAGCACTATGAACAATTGTGCAAAGTTTCAACTTGATCCGAGACTGGGAAATGGGAGAATAAAAAACTTGTTCAAACTTTTTACCAGACAGACAGACAGACAGAGTGAATTGATAAAAGCTTTGTAAAAATACGCTTACAAGTGTACTCATTAGTATTTTCCCAAGTTGTACATTTTTTATCTATCTAGACGTAAACTAGATCTAGTCTATAGTTACAGATGTATACGACACCAACCAAAACAAAAAAAAGGCGACCCTCGATAGAAAAAGTTTGTTCACCCTTGGCTTACCTACAACAACTAAACAGGCGGAGGAACTATAGATCTAATAATGTTACCAGTGCCATTAAAAGAAAAACGTTCCGGCCAAATCAACATAGATCTATAGATCTAGATCTAGAACTGATTTCAACGTAGCGAAGCAAGGACTAGAGAGTATAGTTTCTAATGTTTTAAAAATCCAGTCCTAAAATTAGTACTAGACACGAGATTTAAATCTAATCTAGAAGCACTAGAGCTATAACTTTCTTGCTTCTGCTGATTCTAGATGATGATCTTGGTCTATATCAGGGGTTCTCAACCTGTGGGTCGCGAGCCCTTTAGGGGGTCGATTGACGATTTGCCAGGGGTTGCCTAAGACCGTCGAAAATATGGACTGTTATTGTCTATTCTTCTATTGCTGTATGTGTGTGTGTGGGGGGAGGGGGTCGCGTCAGAGTGGGAGATTGTAGAAAGGGTCGCCGAGCATAAAAGGTTGAGAACCGCTGGTCTAGATTATGATGATACTATAAGTAACTATGTCACCATGACTTTGTTTGAAGTTAAATTTAGATCTTGTGATCTTCTTGTCGATTGATTGCGATAAACTTAAACCTAGATCTAGATGGACTAGATATCTTTTTAAATAAACTAAGATCTAGAATTCTAGATCTAACATGACTTACCACAATCACTCAGTGAATAACAAGGGACTTGAATAGTTTTGAATCAAACTTCAATAATATAGACTATAGACCTGTCTAGTGTCTAGACTCTAAGTCTAGTGTCTACAGTCTAGGATAAACATTTGAGACCAAAAAAAAATACGCTGCCTAAGACAGACGCAGACGGCGAAAAGAAAATACAAATCGACCACCTGCGGACAATGGTTATGCTTGCCCTGGGTGTGGCAAAATATGTAGGTCACAGCTGGGGATGCGCAGCCACGGGAAATATTGCATTCCTCACTATTTTACTATTACAGTCTAGGTCAACCCTTGTTTGTTCTTAGCTTTGAATGTGACAGAAATATTTTGTCACCTAAACTACTTCGATCTATTGTACACGTCAAAGGATGTTGATATAAGATCTAGGTCCAGAGCTCGGCAGACTGTCGCCTGCTAGGACAGTACTTACATGGTATCCAGTCTGTCTGGATCATCCGACATTCAGCAGCAACAGTGATCGTTACAAGTCTCTGCTCTTCATGTAGTCAAGTTTGGTGCGCTTCGGTGCGCTTAAAAAATCCACAAAAACTATAAATTAATAAAATGTTTGTAAAATTTTTGACATGTTTCGGAAGTTCCTTCAGAGTTGAAAAAAAATCAACTTCCTAGCCCAAACTCTAAACTTCCTGCAGGACGAAGGGGGATGGGAGCAGACAGGCTTTGAACCCGGGACCATCTATAAGTCCGGACGAAATTCCAGCGCGCAAACCGCACAACCTGGCAGGCACCCATGGGTTGATGCGTGTAACATTGGCTTTTCCTGCACTTTATATAAATTAAACTATGAGTAGTCTTGCCACCATTGAGCTTTCCCTGCACTTTATATAAACTAAACTATGAGTAGTCTTGCCACCATTGAGCTCTCGTGCTTTCTTCAAGGGGTTGCAAGTGGGGTAACCGCTCC